TATCGCGATAACCCGTCTGCGCATCGCTATAGTCTTTTAGGGGAGTCAAAAAATAATTCGCAAGCGTGTGTACTACTCTCTCCGAATTGAGAGGAACGTGCTGCTCTATGCGGGATACGCGATCGGCCGACACAAATCACGCGGACCGATTCATGCAGCCGGGGTAAGGAAGACGTCCACCCACCCCATGAAGCGACGCAACTCATCCAACTAATCGTCCATCCGGCGCGACGCCTTGAAAAGGGAAGAAGAAAAACGGTGCGGCAGCAACGAATTTTGCTCGCACATGTACCGTGGCGTGACATCTCGCAGCTATTACGCTGACTCGTTGCAGCAGGTGCAACATCGCTCACTGTCCTTCTATGCCTATATATTCAAATTGTCCGCTCGCTTTCTCCCCTGCCGTTTTCCTATCCGCGTACAGGCGTCACGCAAAAATATAACGCGCTCATAATTCGAGCAAGAGGTAACAAACGTTATTAGCGTATATTTATTTGCGATCTTCCTCGAATTAAACTACAGTGTCCCCTTATCGTTTCTAAGAAATGAAACCGCAGAACAGTCTACGAATTTATTGAAATTCCACGTCGTACCATTTCCTCAGCGTCGATTAATTTAAAAAATGCAAGTTGAACAAGAGTAAAAATTGTCTTGATGCTTGTAGTCTAAAACGCGAGCTGTATATTTCTGCCGATGACTATACTCGTCGCCGGACCTTTTCTTCTTCGGTTTTTCCTTTCTATTCCTTCCTCAACCGGTACCCGGTTCGTCGCGCGTCGTCTCTTTTTCGGCACGCTCGTGAACCGCTAATTAGCGCGGATCTTTGCGCGCCGAGCGGATCCGTGGAATCCGCGCACGGGTTGTTTGTCACCCACGCCGCCGCGCCAAGAAGCTTCCTCCCTTTTCTCTCGCCTTCCGTCCCTCTTTCTCCTCCGCTGTCTCTTCGGTTTCTTCCCTTTTCTCGTTTACGCTCTCCGCGGGTTTACGAAGACACAGATTCTTTTCGTCGAACGTTTTCGGTTGTACGGGATCGGGAACAGTTGTTTCATGCGTTCGTAACTTCGACGAGAGGGTAGTTTCGAGAACGCGAGGGTGCTCAGAGCTTTGCATTGTTGTCGAACGCTTGCTTCGAGACGAGTGTTATTGTCTAAAGATCTTGAGAATTATTGTTTCTTCAAGTGAGATCTCGAATTGCGTGTGTATACTCGTTCGAGCTTTAAGCAAATACGATGAGTACGTTTGTTAAAATTAGTACACAAATAGGAAGTAGAATATTTCATGGTATGGAGTATTCTGTTCTCTGTATTATTCTCTATACTATCTTTGTATTGAATTGTTGAAATTGAACAATATGTTTATCTGTAAGATCCTCCGTTCGCCAGCTATCTTAGCGAAGTACGGTTCCTTTGAAGAAGAACGGAAGAGGTGAGTAAAAGGGGAGAAACGGGAAACACGGGGCTTTTGATATTCCGTCGGGGCGATCTTCACGCCCGCGGTCGTGCCTTCGGGCCTGAATTATTGGCCGCGAAGAGCGGCGCCCCTTGTCGAATGGTATCCAACCGTGACGTCGTCGTTGGCATGGGCGCGTCGAAAGTGCTCGGTGGCAAAGAGAACCCGAACTCGATTCCCCGGTTCTAACTTCCAACGCAGGGACCACGGATGGTTTCGCGTCCACAGTAGAGACACGGCTCTCTTGGAAATCGTTCAAGTTACAACCGAGGTTTGTTAATCGTTGTGTAACATAACTGCGTCATCCTATTTTAACTTGAGAATCTAATGCGCATCCTGTTTTGTACAGCTTGGGACAATGATTCCTGGCCAGCTTCGGCTTGTGTTTTCCCCATTAAAAGATTAATAAATCTATATATTTTTTCAATATTAATTGCAGGTTCTTGGCAAGAGATCATAGAAGTAATATCGGAAGTGTATCTTGGATAAGTGAAACTTCCAGTTACTTTCGAAAGCTTGGATGTCGCGAGAGGAAGGGGAGGAGACGGAGCTGGAAAGGAGAAGCCGGGGGTTAAAAAAAACTTCGTCGCCTCCCGAATCCTCTTGTCGAACGGTATCCGAGCGTATCGCGGGGCGTCAAAAGTCCTCGGGCAAAGGGTTGCGGTGGCTCGGCGCGTTCATAGGAAGCCTCGTTCCTCGAAGAGAGGACCGCGCAAAGAAGAGGAGAGACGAGTGAGTCCCGGATTGAAGTCGTCATCGTCGTCGTCATGGTCGTCGTCGTTGAGTTTTCAGCGTGAATAAGAGAGACAGGGGGTGGCACATGCATCGGGGCGTGGACGAGAAGAGCCTCCGGAGGTACCTCGCGGAGGTACTGCAAAAAAAAAAAAAGAAGAGGGACCAAGGAGAGGAGCTTAATGAGCGGGTAGCGGCGAGAAATAATAACGTGACGAGGTTTATATAGAAAAAAGCGTAGAAAGAGAGAGAGAGAGAGATGACGTCGTAGGAGCGGGAAAAATCCACTCCCGCAAGTTTGTCACGCTTCATATTTTCGTTTCCGGTGAAATGCGGCCTACCGATAAATTGGGAAGCGACGGCGCTCGCGAAACTCCTCGTTTCGTTGCGTTTTCGCACCGGCGCGGACTGAAAATAGAAAGTACCTACCAACCGCGGAATTGCCGTCGTTGAGTGTCTCCTTACCGCGACTCCCGACGACGACTCCGCCGCACTCCAAACGGTAACTGTCGATAGTTCTCGTTGGTTGACTCTTCCGATTGTCGTCAGATTTCCACGAAACCTGTTTTCCCTGAAGGGTACTTGACTGTTCGGAGCTTTCCCGCTGATTTTTCAAGATAATTTTCCGACGACCCCAATAAAGGGTAATAGAAAAATGAAATGTTCAATCGTACAAAATATTTGGTAAAACGTAACATTGTGAACAGTCGGTTTCAAGAGATTTAAATACTTTTCTCCAACGCGTAGACGGCGACAGTGAGACGATAGACAAGAAAAATGAATAAATTTACATGGCGATACGAAGCGTTCAAGTGACTCGAATATATGGACCTGAAAATTATTGCTTGTGGACAATTTCAGTTATAAATCATATGCATGGTTTTGAAACGACCGCGATTATGTTCGAATAAATTCCTCACTCTAAGAATTTTTGCACATTAGAATTAAGACCGTACATATTTACGACCTGTATATGTATATTGGACGGTAAATGATCGAGCCGACACGCATAAGCCTCCGAACGTAAATAATTTCAACTGCGAATCGATTTCGCATTGCTATCACTTTTGCAAACCGTGACTACTAGCTTCTTAACATTGATAACGACTAAATGCTTTCATGATTTCACGCAAATAAATTTTCATCCAAGTGATTTTCTCTTCATACGAATAAATAACAGCCTCATTGATATCAAAATAAGTATACAAATTTATATTGAAGTTGAATTATCTTCAACATTGATACGTGGAGAATATAATTCTGCTATTCATACCTTGGTTTGTATAAGTCTTCTAGTCCAGCATTGTTCTCAATTTATACACAAATTTATAAGTCTGATCGTCGTCGAACTATGAGAAATTTTCATAAATAAGACATCGTGGATATTATACTTACATTCATAATTAACATACAAATCCACCGTTACCTGTATTGCATCCACTATGTTTGATATTTCTCGTACCTACGATCATTATCTGTGATCTTGATTCTTCTTGATACAATGTTTCACATCTAATTACCTGTGACTAGTTTCCGAACACTATTATTTTTTGATACATTCATTTTAAGGAAAGAAGATTCATAATCCGTCAAGAAAGAGTCTATGAAGGGCTAAAAAGCAAAAGAAGCTTGAAACGCAGTTTTAATGGTTTTAAACGTCAGACTTCTGAGGTCAGTATACGTGTTAATTAAAATCCAGTGAATTACGAGGCTCCCTCGTAACCGACCTATTGATAAACCAAGGTCGTGCCTGTATCGGACGCGCGGTTCGACGCGAGGAGGTTCTCACAGCTTCTTCTCACGTTGGGAACAATGCGATAGACGGTGGTCGAGGTGAACGTGGTTCGTGTGGACCGATAAAACGAGAACACGTTCACGCGCGTTCCGTTCGCATCGTAAGACCGTTCATTCTCCGGGTCGATCAGGCGTGATCGAGGGGGGCCAACGAGGAGAGATTCCTAGATCCTCCGTGGCGATGTCAAGACCCGCGTCCACCCGTGTCCTCTGACTCTTCTGACCGGTTCGAGGGATCGAGACGTCGATAACGCGAATGATCGATGCTGGGGCAACGCGCGAGACACCGATCCAGCTATGAAACCGCCTCTTCATCGTTGACACCGATCACGACGACCGTTCCTCCACCGACCTACATCTCATTTATGTACATATATGCCTACACTCCGCGAGACAGTGTGACTTCGACTTAGTTATTTTCTTGTGTGAACAGAAAAAATGCAAAAAGTGAAATATTATTAATAGGGTCTGTACGTGGAACGTACAAAGGTGTACAACGTAGCTATGTAAAAAAATCATTAATAATGAATTAATAAAAATCTGCACCACATTAATCGTTCGACCGGTACGAATAAACGTCTTTGGCTTTCTAAGAACGGCAATTCCAGCAGTTGACTTGACGCACGTTGTGTACGTAAGAAGCCTGGTTCTTCGACACTCGGGAGAATATTAATTACCTGGCAACCCGTGGGCAAGGATAACGGAAATGCAAAAAAAAAAAACTAAAACGCTAGGTAGGAAAGCATTGTGTCTGCCGCTGAGTAAGCGGCTGACGCACGAAACGATGCGATTTCGAGAGAAGATTATATTTGTTGCACACTCGTGATCCGATAAAAATCGTGGACGAAGGAATTAAAGAAGAAGCAACATCATCTTCCGTTTTCAATTTAAAATGAAATTCTTTGATAAAACTTGGCACGCCGTGACTTGCGTAGAATCGGTCAGATCCTTGAAATGAAATTTGACTTTCAATCGAGGATGGGAACGTCGAAGGTTGGTCGTGGTTGCCGAAAGAAAGATTAGACAAGAGGCCAGCGTGTATATTGTCAAAATATATTCAATGAAAAAATCATCTTGTAAAATTAGACAATCGTTCCATTCGTTACAAGGATATTAATAATAGGAGTGATAATAATAATAATCTGTCTGTCATCATTATTACCTTGCCTAACGCAGAACCGCTACCGAATGCAATTAGAATCCCTACAACCTATAGCGGTGCCTTAAGAAACTCGAGGAACGTCCTTTATTTACAACAATTACGTGGAGTTCTTTACGCAAAAGGATTCGTGGAGATCGGGCGCGTTGCGAGCCAAATACATACGTAATTCGTCGCACAGCTTCCCATTCTTACCCCATTTCTTTTTTTTTTTTATACTTTTGAGCAATAATTACACGTAGTCGCACGCTCGCCGGTGAAGCTCGACGCGCCCAAACATTTATTTATAAATAATGTATATATTTATATATTTATATTCGTATTGAATCCACGTTAAAACCCAACGTTCCGCGAGATGATTCTCCCATCCTGTAATAACGTCACTCCCGATGTCGATGAGCCTTGACGTTAGTCAAAATGTCCGTCCGTCCGTTCCTAAGGAAACGTTGGATTTTCACACAGCACTGGTAAAGTTCGTAACCCTTAACTAGTCTTAGCTCAGAAGATTTATAATCAATAAATAGACATCGACAACTAATTACAAACGCTTTCTCGACTCAGGTGCCGCGTCGAGGCACCCCGTCGAACTTTAACCGTATCTTTCGTGTATATTCGCCCGTTTCGTTTCGTTTCGTTTCGTTTCGTTTCGTTTCGTATGTGTGTGTGTGTGTGTGTGTGTGTATGCGTATGAGTAGGAATTTATATATTACGTGTTCGCGTGTGGATTCCCATAGTCGAGTCGATTCGACAGGTGTTCCGTCGTAAATCAAGCTGTCTTCACCCGTGTCACCCGCTTACAATAAATACAACGCTTTCCGACTAATCGATCCTCCGGTGTACGCGTACTGTAAGTGTCGTCTCCATTTCTCTCCCGATCGAATTCCGCTCGATCCGTATGGAGAACATTGTTAAACAAACTCTCACATTAATTTATTTTCACATTTCTTTATTTCCTCCTAATGCAAACTTTTCCACTACAAAAAGTCCTGGTCGATCACCAAAAGAGAACTGACTCAGGTGATCCGACACCTTGGGGGACAGTTCCCGGATTTATTCACAGAATCGCGAGGCGATTTGATAGCTTCGCGCGATTAGCTCGCGCGTCTCGCGATCGGGTTGGAAACGAGGTTCCGAATTTGGGGATGATCACGCGCAGTCCAAGGATGCCAAGGACGCGGGGCTGTGGGGTCCTCCGAGCATGAACGGTGGACTCATCGGCGGTCCGCCGCTTCCGGTGCTGTTCCCGTAGAGCTCAAGGTCGCCAAGGGAACCGCCGTCTACGCTCCCGTCGCATTTGTCCGACTTCCCCTCCTGTTTCAACACCATGCGCCGCCATTTTGCGCGGGCGTTCTGGAACCAAACCTGCGAACACAGAAACGAGACCGAACCACGGTTACGAGCGAACATACCTACGTACATCGTTGTTATACGTGTTTCAGCTGAAATCGTATAGGGAACGAAGCAAGAAAGGGTTGGAGAGGCCGTCGAGTGCCGAATACGATGAACATAATCCTACTTTAACCACGGTTTCGAGAGCAGTTCCACCGGAATTGTTATTATTATTATTATTATTAGTTCCAAGAATTCGTGGAAAATGAAGGAATTGAAGTATTTGTTCCCGTTTAGATATCTACTGAGAAATTATTCTATGTGTTAGCAGTAATATGCTAAAAATTGATATAAGTAACAAGGAGGTAGATCTTCGTCAAAGGAACTAATAAGAACCCTACGTAGACTGCAACGGCGAGAGTACATCTTGTCTCCTCAGCAAGAATTTCCCTTCGCTTTAACCCCTGTTCCAGATAGATAAAAGACGACCGTGAATGCAAGGCGTCGCCATTTTCAAGATAGTCTCCTCCCCCGCAGACTTCGAGGTCGTGCCACCCCTTCGTGGTCGAAGCCGTCGCGTCGCGTTTCTCCCTGTTCCGTGGCGAACGCCGACGCGTTCCCGTACGTGTATTATTGTTGGCGCGTGTGTGGCGAGCGCCTACGTGTACGCGCGTGTGTAGTCACTGGGATTCGAGTTCGGGTGCTCGTGGTACACGTACGCGTGCATGTACAGATACAGGGTACGAGGAGAGGAGAGAAGCCGTAGCCGGCGACGAACGCAGCCGCGGTGAACGAGCGAGTATTCGTGCGTTTCGCGATCAATATCAAGCAAGATGGCGACCCAAGAACCCTACGCCCGCACCGAATACAATAGGCCGGCTCTCTCGCCTCCTCCCCTGGCCCACCCTCAACGGCCTTTTCTCTTTCTCCAGATCTTCTGCCCCGGCAGCGGCCGCGGCGCCATCGAGTCACCGTGAGCGCCTCTTTGTCCGTTTGGATCCGGCCCGAGGACGCTTCACGGTTACACAAAGATATCGCTTGAACCGCGGGAGGGTTTAATTCACGCGACGTAAATTTGGGGTGACGAAAAAAATTCAAGTATCATTTTGTAGACGATTTTAAAAAAAGGTCAGATACAATGCCGAACGGTTCTACATTATCATTCTGAACCTATAAAACATCCAATGGTTCTAAGAAGAGCACCAAGGATCCATAAAGCATTCTTGGGCCGACACTCATGCTCGAACGAGTCCGATTAATTCCCTATAAAAACCCTGAGGAGCGACCGCGAAACAGCCGGAAACTATTTCCGTCGGTAATTACACGTTCGCGTCCGAAAGACCAGAAGCCGAGACCGAACTAATCTTTCCCCCGGTGGCAACGATTTGACCCGTGATGGTCGACAAAAAAGCAGGACAAAAGTTCAGATTTTATTTCGTACAAGATTTGCTAAGAGATTTTCATATGAATTTTGGTTTTATATTAATAACTCAGAGAATCAAACGGAAGAATGAAGGCAAGGGTGGGTACAAACGTGAACGTGAATCGTGATGTATATAATTCGTCGATCAGCGATCGATTTTCAAGGTTCGAATGAACGGCGGGTAGAAGCGTGTTCACGAAACGGACCCCTTGCCCCGTGTAATTTAACGGTAGTGGGTTAACGAGGGCAGAGAGGCGCTCGTTACGACAAAACTTGGCCGGGCCGGGGATTTTGAGTAGCGGCGGATTGACGGAGGGCCATAATTACGGGGAAAGGCCACAGAGGCTCGTCGACGGAAATATCACCGCGGACCATGCGGTGGTTCTTTTACCTCAACGCGCCGCCGGCAGCACGCACTAATTGGGAGAAGCGCGCGCGTACATCTCGAACGCGCTCGCGCTTCCCTCTCGGCCTCGCTCGGGCTCGGGTCGCGCGTGAATATTTTTATATAGGAGAGGACTCTGGCAGCCAGCGACGCGCTGCACGAAGAAGGAACGAGAAGGGGGAGGGGGGAAAAAAAAAGGAGGAAAAACGATCGAACCACCGGCTATCCATCTTCCGACTGCGACTTTTCTCTGCACCTTTTTTACCCGCCTCTGGAAACCTCCGCCTCTCTCCAAACCGCAGCCTTTCTTATTCCTTTTCGCCTCGCGTCTGCCCACCGATGGATATCTTGTTCCAGCGAACAACGAGTCTTCTCGTCGGGAAATTTTTTTGCCAGTTTGTTTCGTTCGAGAGAGCGTACAATTTTAGCATAAGCAGTTCTTTTGACTAAAATCATAGCTAAACAAGAAGCTACCGAAATCGTTCGATCAGAGGTTCCTAAGACATCGAGCGCGGACGAAACTTTCCCCGGAGAAAACTCCCATTGATTAATGAACGCGTGGAAGCCGGGAGAAAAACGAAGAAGACGTTTCCGGCGGTAGAGTAGACAGTCTTGAGAAAACAATCAGACTATTTATCTTCCAGACGGTGCCGACAAAAATGAATCGTCGTGCCCCAGCTACGAAGCCGTCGCGATCGAAACGCGAGATCTCCGAGAGACTGTTTCTCAGTGGGACGGTAGACGATTTTCCTCGGGTCCTCTCGCTTTTCGCGTACTAACAATCTCTTCTATCTTTAAACCTACCGCCGCGCCGCGTGTTCCACGTTTCGTGGGTTGCCGGCCGAAATAAACGTAACACGGTCGCATAAATTCCGAAGACACCGAGGATCGAACAACGCGAGAATAACGAAGGGAGCGGAGCGCAACGATACAATCTGTCCAAAACGACGCGCGCCCGAAAATGGTACCAGCGGGGGACGATTTTAGCCGGCCTATGAAGGGCGTCATGCGTCATTGACGCAGCAACACTAATTGGAGGAGGCCGGTGCGCGCGACGCGAATATTTTTCCCGCGAACCGACCCTCTAAATTTCCTTTTAATTGCGCATCGCGACGATTCCACGCCTACCCGGCCCCCTTTTTTCCCCTCGTCCCATCGGATGCGAATTCCGGCCGATTCGGCCAATTGAGTTTCACTAAAGATAGTTGGTCGATTTCGCGAAATTGCAGTTCTTTTAAACTGACGGGCTGTTGCGAATAATTTGAAACGAACAAGATCTTCCGCTATCGATCTTCGAATCTACGACTAGCTCGTCCGTCTGAACGAAACGATTACGCAACACGCGGGACGAAAAATCGTTTTGTAACTAATTTCCCGTGTACACGTTCGATCGTAACGAGTAGTACAAAGCTGTCGAACGGATATACTAGAGGAGCAATGATCTTACTTGCAATACTCTTTTTGGCAAGCCAGTTTTCTGTGAAAGTTGCTTGAGATCCTTCGCGTCCGGATTGTGATTGATCGCGAAGTAACTCTTCATCGTCCTTAACTGGTGATGCTTGAAACTCGTCCGCATTCGTTTTGTTCTGCTGTTGGAACCAGGTATACCGGGAGTCGCCGGTCCTCCTCTGCCGAAGGGCATGTCTATGTAGTCCGCGTTCAAATCTGCAAACATAAATCCCCGACGTCCGGATTATGCGTCTTAATTAAAACACCGGCGTCGTCGCGCGGCTATTTTTAAAAGTGTATCGGCTGCTAGAGCAATATCAGTTTGGGGGATCTTTTAGAGGACCTCTCTCAAACCTTCCCAAATTCATATCTACACCAGAATCGTTTTACAATTATTATATTAATTAATAGTCTTTTATAGAACAATCGGTGATTGGATTTAAGGAAGGCATTGATGAGAATATGATCTAACCTTTGACTGTCTCCGCTCATCTTCCGAAATTTTATCAAGAATCTAAACCCAATCGTGGGACGATAGCGACTTAATCGAATAAAGTTATCGGCGGTAACAATTGCTAGAGAGTTGCTCGGGAGTAGATACGAAGAACGGTTGCGTCGGAAGCAGCAACGCGGCTGGTCGCGACTCTAGCGCTGTTTGATGTGTATCACAGCTCATTAGCTCCTCGAGTGCAAACAAGAAGGGTGATAGCGTATGCGAAAGACCAGCGGATACACGAGCCAATTACAACTCTATGCAGCAAATAGTTTGCAGGCACGATACCTCATTCCGGTATACGGTCTATCTTTTCTCGAGGAGGCTTCGCGTCGCGTCGTCGGATAAAGCGACGACAGTCGTCCCCGGCTAAAGATGCCGGATCGATAAGATCGAGATCGATCTACCCCTATCACGTGGAAATCTGCGGAACCGTTCGCCCGTCGAGGATCAACGACGACGACTGTACCTTTTTCTGACTCGGATCGGTTTTGCTACCGCGCTCTTAGCCGCCGCTTCGGTGAACTGGATTTTACGGCACGAACTTTCAGATCTCGCGGAGATCTTGCAAGAATCTCTAATTACCGATGGAGGGCGATTATTAAAGACCGTGGGAGAATCGATACGAACGTCCAGACGCTGTTTCTAAAAATCACGTTTACAGTAAAATGAGAATGCCCACGGAATTGGAATCCTCTATATTAATAAAATGAATTGTATGCATCAAGCAGGGTCTCTCCGGACGTAAAAAGTAAAAAGGACGTGAGGAAAAGGTCCGGCGACCTTGCGAGCGAAGAGGCCCAATCGACCAAGCCCCTCCTATCAAATTATTTTATTTCCGACGATAAATTCTCGCGACTGGCCCCGTCCGACCGGCAAACAGAACAAATAATTCCCAGTCATCCGTGGGTCCTGCGTCGAGACGTCATCGTCCGCGACCCGAGAGATCTTTTTCACCGGGAACGGGCAGAAGGAAAAAGGAGGGAAGAAAACTGGTCGTCGGTGGTAGATGGTAGGTGGTAGGGAACGGCACACGGCCGGTGCGTGGTTCGTCCAGACTCGTCTCGATTCCCGAGTGGCTAGTTGTTCCCACGGTCGGTCAACAATCGAAATTAAGTTTTCTCGAGAGAAGAGAAGCTGCCGCGGCACGAAGCGCTGCCCACGCGCCCGCGACGCGTATACAAGCTTTGTTCGGGATCGGATTCGTGAATTTATGTCGCGGCGACAAATTTTATCAGGGTTCGGTGGCAAACACCTCACGCCCACGCGCGCTCGTAAATCACCGACGAGCGCACCACGTTCCGCTTCGCCCCGTTCAGCCCTGCCCTGTTCTGCCCTGTTCTGTTCTGTTCTGTTCTGTTCCGTGCGCGTACGCGCGATCTCTGCATGGTACACCGAAACGACCCAGGACTCGCCGAGATCGTGTCGAGAATTTTCGTGCACGATCGCGATACCGTCGACAATGAAAATCTCTCGGGTACAGGTACCCGCGGACTGGTCGTGGCAGAGCGAAAGGTTAGATAAGACGAGAGCTTCGCTTCCAGGTTCGCTCGAACGAGGTAAAGTGAACTTGTTACGTGAACAGTCTGTGCCGCGATATAATTAGACGGTTCGCTGGTAGTATTGAAACTTAATTAGACGCTTGTCTGCAGGAAATCTGATTTTTTTTTTTTGATATCGGTTCATTAGTTTTAAGAAGCGAGAAATCTCCCTGACACAAAGGACTCTACTAAGTTCAATTGAAACGTAACGTTATTAATTTTTTATGACGCGTGAGTCAACGACACTTCAGCTTCGACACTGTCTATCGTAGTTTCATAGCAAATCACAGTTAAGCAAACGTTTGATCGTTTCACGGTCCAAAAAATCGTACAGCGTCGTCTTATGCTTTCTGATCAAGAATTATGATTACTGCGTGATTCCAATGTGCATTGCGTGTTATCGCAAATTTACATGTCTCGCCCATACGATTTATCTCTCCTCCTTTAATTAAATTTTGTACATTCTACGTCCGTGAATGTCGAAATGTTAATCCGCGCGTGAAGCTATTCTATCTTTCTGGAATAATTTTTGAATTTCTGGTTGGGACAATAAGCTGGCTTTTTATAAGCTCCGGCACATGGTGCAATCGCGAAAGCCATGAATCATTTCCGAGCCGGCCGATGCTCGCGTGCGAAACGAAATAATATTCGCGGTGAAACGAACGGAATTGAATTTTTGACAAAGGAGACCCGGTAGGATAAATTTAATGAACGAATTTTTCCTTCATCCTTTTCATTTCGTCAATAGAAGGCGTGATATATATATATAAAAAAAAATATTCCTCACTGACCTATGTTGCCGGTCATAGCCTCGAGGTCCTTGGGCTTCCTCTTCCTCGGCCTTCCTTTCTGTCTCGGCGGCGGAACAACGGCGGCGCCATTGAAGTACGGTACTTTGGGTGGCGAACCGGCGTCGGGAACCGACGGAGTCGACGGCTGAAGCGGTACCGGGCTCACGTGACTGTGGGGATGCTGGGGGTGCATCGAGTGGTGCGGGTGCGGCGGGTGCGAGGGATGATGGTGGTGATGGTGAAGGAATTCCGGCGAGGGGAACGGCTGGCCGGGATAGTGTGGACCTGGCGGGTAAACAGGGACCGGGGGACTTTGCGACGGGTGCAGTTCCGCGCCCATCTCGTAGTGCAGTCGACAGAGCACCGCGCCGTCCCTCATCCCGAAGTGATCGCCCTTCGTCAACGGAACCGCGCAAGCAGCGCACGAGAAACAGCGGACGTGGAACACCAAGTCCCGGGCTCGCATTACTAGTTCCGAGGCGAGTATCGCCGCTTGACATCGGGCGCACCGCTTCATACTACCGAACATCCTGAAACATATTATTCAACGTTGTAAATTATCTTAGAAGAAGACACTTAGATTATGTGTAACCTGATTATACTCCAGAGTTGTTTCGAGATTTTTCAATAGACCGTGCTACTGTTCATTAAGGGGGCGCCAATTAATGAGCTGAAGAAATGAAACGACGTTCGTCGACACTGCGTACGAGCGGATCGGAGAAACGAACCGGCATGCCGGCCACGACAAACAAAAATAACCAAGAAATTATCGTAACTGTGGGGATGCAGATGCAGGCGGCGCACATTTTTTCATTCAGCTTAAACGATACAAACACACGTCCGCGTGGTGGACGTTTCCCATCGGCCGGAGATATCTGCCGCACCGCGCCTGTGTTCTCCCGATATGTGTAGGATTCCGTTAAATCGAGAAAAAGAAGGCAACAGGCCGAGGCCGATAAACAGCCACCGACAGAGAAAGGTGGAACGGAGACGGTTTACAGGCCTGAGACACGTAGAAACTCGGTGATATCGCGAAGGCGAAAGGAAAGAGGGGGGGCGGGAACACGTAACGACGACGGGACGCGAAGGTGGAACCCGCGGCTGGACCGAAAGGGCGGAAAAGGGATGGAATATACCGATGGCAACGGGCATCGTGACATCGCTACTGCATTAGCGGCACCCTGCAGTCTCCATTACCGAAGCCGGTCGACTATCTACCCGACATCCACCACGGCTACCTACCTACCTACCTACCTAACCGCGGTCTCCATCTCTCGCTCTCCGCCTGCTCCCCGAAATATATTACCTCCCCCTCGCAGCTGTATTAAACAACCTAGATAGAGACATGCCCGATCTTATAACCCTGATGCTGCTTCGCGCGTCCTCCCTACCCCGACTCTTTCTATCTCACCTAAACTTGCATCTACTATTAGTATATACGTGCAGACATTTTTTGTATTGCAATAAAATACACAAGTAAATCAGACCACATTTGAAACACTTACATTATTTCTTGTATACTTTCAATTTAGTCAGAAGCGAGGAATATGTTGTTGATCACGCGATCCAAACGAACTTGAGGAGGAAGTCCGTTCGAAGGGGAAACTATTTTCCTAACTGTTATTTAAATCGTGTCAACGGGAGGGAACGATTTTTTCAGAGATCGTCCGATAGGTATCGACTGTGAATGAGGAAATGCGGGGAAAACAAAAGGAGGATGTGGCCACGCGAAATCGCGCAACGGACCGCGGAGCAATGGAATCTCCCGGCAATTGGAAAACGAGAAAATACAGAATAACGATCAGATACCGCGAAACCAGGAAAACCGATGCCGTACCATGCGTATAACGAGTTTCGTTGTTTCGCGATGGAAAAATAGCGACGTGGTATCCCGAAGTCCTGAAATTGGAATATATTCAATACCGCATATTCGAGTAAAATAAACCAGGAGTATCAATTATATTTATTCATCGCAACTGAATTTCATTTTATTCTAGCGGAAAGTGCATTATGATCGAGCCGTGCAGTTGCGAACTTCCTATTCCATCGAACGGAATTTCTTTTTGCAATACGCGATATGAAATAATATCTTCTATCGAATTGGACACATTAAACATGGAACTATCATATGACTAATCCTCTTCTATTTCACCGAACAGGTTATTCGAATCGAGTTAGAAAAATATTTCGTCTCCAATAAACCCCGACAAGTAGATCTCGATTTGGAGTCCCCATTCAGGCGTCGACGAGAGTTAGCGTCAAGCCGTGTCAACACCTCTTCAAAAGGGACACAGGGCGAAACAACCTGAATGCTACTGCAGAGTAGCCAGTCATTCAGCGCCCCGTCCTACTTACATCTCGTGTCGTCTACGACGAGCGACGACGAATAGCGTGGCAAAGATTCCTCGAGAGTCGACGGTATTTCGAATGTATGGGTCCCCGTGAGTAAAACCTAAACCTAATCTAATGGATTAGGCATGGCCTGTCGAGAGGGTCTCTTGACTCGGGACACATTGTTATCGTTTGCTGATCCTATTGACAGCCCCGATCCCGGGACAATAGCCGCGGTGGTCTGGTTTGCGCCCAGCGGGGTAACTGCACCGTATTTTTCGTCTAATCAGATCCGCTCGAGCGTGTTGGGTAATCGACTGACTGACCCTCTTTCGAATTTATAACAACAGCGGTCTCCCGTCTTCGACCGCATAGGTGTTCTTCCTGCTTAAGCTTGGTTAAGACGTTTGCCAGGGGAACTTTTGTTAACAACTCCTTCCTTTGTACTTGCAGTTTCGTCCGCTTGCCAATTCACGATTTTATTAGTATTCCAAGAACTCTCTCTCTCTCTCTCTCTCTCTCTCTCTCTCTCTCTCTCTCTATTTCATTTCTTTACTGTTTTTTTTATGAAACATAAAACAGTTGCTTTTTTCAATATGGAGCCGGAGTACAAAAGAGAACGAGCTACATGCCTCGTTAACCCATCACCTTCTCACCGCCACAATCCCGTAGCATGCGATCCCAAACACCTCGCAAAGCGACGGAACCCCGCGAGAGGTATTCAGGTTCGCAGCACGGTAAGGAAAAATTCTTCACGTGAGGGGTTTCGGCAATTCCTTGGCTCTGTTCGAGCGTGTCTTCGGTCTTCGCCTCCCCACGATAGCTGTCCCGCCGGATGGATGAATGAACGGAGGCCTCGAACGACCGGGAATAACCTCATTCACTCTCCCGTTTCCTCCTCGTTCCGGTTTCACGGTGGGGGAACGCCCGCAGAGTTTTACAAGATGCGCCATATGCGATACATTATTATATCATTGTATATTGTACATGAGCGCCATGCCGCGGTGTTCTAAGCACCGGCACCGCGCCATAGCGGGTAGCGCCTCGCTTCCTAAACGGACCGTGCACCCCGGGTCTCCCGCTACAAAGACTCGGAAATCTTTTCGCGCGCTCCTGGACCGCTCGCCGTGCGTTCGCACACTCGCCTCGTGGCCCACGTGGATTTCCTTTACAGCCTCTTTTTCTTTCCTCGCTTTCTTCGGCTTCCAACCGATGCGACGCGAGATACACGAGTCTACACGTACGTATGTACTTATTTCTCGCCTGCTGACTCGCCGCGGCTCTCGTCTTCATTTATGCGTCGCTGTCCTTGTAACACGAAATTCTCCGATTATCAAAAATACCCGCGCGACGAAATTCCAAATGCTCGAGCTATCTTGCTTCAGCGGCATTCGAGCAATTTCACATTCCAGCAATTTCTCCCTAATGTACCCGGGGGAACCTTTAGCCGGGCAGCACTTCCTAAATTCGCGTCGTCGTTAAGGGTCCGGTTTGTACAAATCGGCGCGCGGTCAGCACGCGAGCCGATCGCGAAATTAATTAACTCGAGCCGAGGAGGGAAGGCGCGTGAAATTTTTCTGAGGACAGGCATCGCGTGGATATTGCGCGCGTGTCGTGTTCCCGCGGCATTAGTCAGCCCGCGTCCGAAAGGGTCCAGTCCGCTTCTATTCGTTCGGTACGCATAGTCGTATATTAAAGCGGAGAGGGCCGCTGACAAGTCGCGCCGGGATTAAGCGAACCGGCCGGCCTCGCGATGCGATGCTGTAAATTATTATTTCCACGATAAAGGCTTGTCTCCTACCCTCGGACTTGAGATACCGAGCGTAATTAATGCCTCAACGCGGTAACAGAATCTAATCGGAGGATTCGACGATCGCGGCTACCGTCCACCCTCGATACGTGACTGGATTGTTCAACGAGAAAATGGACCGAGGGTGCAACCAACCGTGGAACGTAATAAATATGTTCACAATTTTTTTACGCGTACTCAGTTTTCGACGTGAAAGACACCGTTTGGAGTGAAGGAACTCTTATCTGCCACAGCTGTAAAGACAATAGTAGGGTTGAAGTAACAGGTCTTGTCCGTTACACTCGTTCATTCTAAAGGCACGACTCAGATAAAGAAAGGAGAACATTCTTCGAACGAAGAAACAGAGAACAATGTTGAGGTTGCATATGGAAACGAGAGTCCACTGTAACAGCGAAACACGCAACGTTTCGAAGAAAACTGTTAGGATTTCCAGGCAGAATTCCCATCGCCTTTTATCGGAAGGCGAATAGAACGTCAGAAGAGGATTTTCTGAACGGATAACCGTGTCGAGATGGCGAGGATCCCTCATCGCATTGGACATAAACATGTCATATCCGCGGTTATCAACGGCAATAACATTGCAACGCGAACAAGTTGGCTTTCGTATCGGCGCTTCCGATCGGGCGAGCTCCCCGCGGTGCCGTCGGCCAGCGAACTAACTAACAAAGAAACCAAAAAGGGAAACGTCTCCGGAGCTCGCGCACCGTGAAAAACTCGCGGCTGATGTATCGATAAAATAGCGTTGGCAACGTTAATCAAGCACCCACGGGGGCCCGCTGGAACAATCGTTGAGAAAACAGGAGTGCTCGCGTCTCCGAGACGCGTTGCGCAACGCATGCAGACAATCTTTGGACATCATCTATAATAATAATACCAGTGCAATTGTGTCGCTTCGGTTAAAATTGCAATACGTATCTAGAAGGAACCGGCTGATCACTGATGGAGATTTTGTTCCGGATCGTCGTCTCGGCCTCTCGCGATTGCCCTTTTACTGGAAACGTCTAATGAACGCGAATCGTGAATCGATCCCGGCTTCTAATTGTGAGGACACAAGTGGAACAAGAACGAATTACTGATCCGACTGAAAATGGTTGCTGGCGACCATTTAAGACCGATGGGGACAATTTATGTCCTCGGTTTCGTTTCGCTTTAGATACATATTAGGTTGTGCTTAATTTTGTTACGGGATTGAGAATCCAACCTTAGTTCCCCACGTGTCCATCCTGTAGAATAGATCCATCAGAATAAATTTAATGTAGGAAGTTGTAAATTATTCCTAAGAGTCTTACTCATTACTTTAACGTTCTTCTATAAGTTTTTTTCTGAATAAGAAAACGAAGGACATTGCAAGAATCGAGACTAAGGAAATATAAATTTGAGGGAAAATAG